TCTCTCTCTCTTTCTCTCCCCTCCCCCCCGTCTGCAACACAGAAGGTTTTGTTTCATGACCTAAACAGTGACATTTCTCTTCAATCCCACAGGAGATGAACTACCCATTGACTAAAGTACTTCCGCAATCGCTCCAACTGACCCCAAAATCTTTCAGTTGCCCCCGGGACAGGAATGCCCTTGAGTGACCAAGACCAAAGCCGAACCCATTTTCTCGAAAGCAAGTACACATTCCCGAGAGTGAAATAAAATTCAGATCTTGCTAATAGTAGAGGACAATGCAGGTCGATAGTTACTTTAGAGATGTCAAGTCTGATTTTAATTCACGCCTCACATCAAGTGGACTTTGGGGTTCTATTGAGACTGGACTTACATGTAGCATTGGCTGCCACTGGACATGATTCTTTTCTCTGGTCTTCTCCGATTTTAACTTGAAGAAGAAATCGATTCAGACCTGTATAATGTCCTGTTAATGCATGATGAGGTTACATTGAGGTTGGAGCTACCTGTAACATTGCCTTCCTCCTTACGATTCAGATACTTTTATAGTATTCGGTTAGAATGAGAAATGTTCTTCCTCGTCATTTGGTGTCTTTTCTTTCCCCTGCGATCTGGATTACAAGCCTGAAGAACATTTTTTTTTGGAACAAATGCACGTAAAGAAGATTTATTTTTTTAAAATCCCACAGTACGGAAAGATGTGATACTTGCGCAACAACCACTACATTAAATAAAGTTACGATATATAAACAAAATGAAGTTCAAATGGATTAACTACACAAGCGGATGTTTACCGATCACGCTCAGAATGTGTACTTGTATGGGGCAAAGCACAGTATAAATGCAATCTGTTCTGGCAAAAATGACTGGATATGTGCAGTGAGTAGAATTTAATACAAGTTGTAGAACTGTGGCCGAGACAATTACTAGAATAACCATCACCAAAGCAAAATAACAGAAGTGGCATTTTTAGCAGTGTTACTGCAATCACAACTTAAATCACAATATGTAAGACGACAACATCAACAATAATAAAGCCACCAACATCAAAAACAACAAAAACAACACAAATACAACTACAGTAAAAGCAACAGCAACAACAACAACAACAACAACAGCAGCAACAACAACAACAACAGCAACAACAACAACAACAACAACAACACCACTATCAACGACAAAGCCAACGACATCATCATCGTCGCTGCATCATCGTCTCCACCACCACACCTATCACAACAGAGCCAACAGCACCAAAAACGCCAACAACAGCACCAACAGCACTAATAACAGCACCAACTGCGCCAAAAACACAAACAACAGCACGAACAGCACCAACACCAACAACAGCGCGAACAGCGTAGCAACAGCACCAACTGCGCCAACAGCAGGAACAACAGCACGAATAACAGCACGGACAGCAGCACGAATAGCACCCACACCAACAACAGCGTTTACAACAGCACCAACAGCGCAAGCAACAGCACCAACAGCCATGACGCAGTCTTCAACTTGCCCGGCGGCCAGCAACAGCTCTGAAGTGATCCGCCATCTTGTAGCGACCATCATCTCCTCCTCCTCAGCACAAGACATAGAGAGTGGCCTCAGCCTAGAGGTGCTTCAGAAGGTCTTAGGCTCTCGGAACTACACGCTCAACCCGTCTGAGGTGAGAGAGAGAGAGAGAGTGAAAAGAGAGAGAGAGAG